TCTGATAAAGCACGCTCTTTCAGCCAATCAGAGCGCGCGTTATATGGAAACTTTATTATAATGACTATTATTATGTCTTTTAGATATTACTTGGAACGTAACTACCAGCTTTGGCTGTCTCTTTCTTGCTCTGTTATATGTAATCTAGGTCATAAATATCCCTACTAGTAAAACCAATAACCCTAAAGGTTTCTAATTGTGAACACCTTACTAACATGCTTCCACTAAAAGCATTACATGGTTGGACGTACACTACATTTACATAAAACGCTTCTAGCATTTTTAAAGCATTAATTAAAGCTGCTTGAATAAATATTTGGTCAAGGTGTTAACTTAAAGTTTAGAAAGTTATTTGCTCTGGTCAGTTTTACTTACTGGCTGATTAAACTGACCGATTAAACTACAAATCATGCAATCAATTCTTGCTAACGCCTACGGCCGTTCAAAGGGGAGTAGAATTTATAGAACTTCCTTCGGTAATCGTTTCTATCTTATCCGAGCTTTTTGTTTTCTTTTCCTTAATTTTCTTTCACATAAGTCACTTACATTACTTACAATGCACAATGAATTACCTACATTACTTNACAATACAGGTCTCCTATACTAATATCACAATACTCTACTTACAGAACAATACTTACTTTACTTACAATAAGGGAGCTAAACAAACAACCCGAAACAATTCAAATGGCATACTAAAATTAACTAATAGTGCATGCTCAGGTAAATTAAGGCCTGGGTCAAGACTGATTTTGGTCCCCAGTGGCCCCCCAAGCAGAATGCGTGGAATTTGCGTGGACTGTGGAAGTAACCATAGTTACTTGGAATTTCGAGACTGCCTCGCGCGTATTTCGGGAAAACATCCACCATTTTGAAATGTGGGCTTCGCATTGTTTTTTTTGTCATTGTTACCGGTGAGTCCGACAGTACAGAAGAAGACAACGAAAAGAGGTAAAACCACTTTCTTTTCTATTTTCGCTACCTCGAAAATTGGCATGATACCTCTATTTTTTAGCCGAAGAAAAGGAAACGTAGTCATCGGTTGTTTATCGAAAATTCAGGCTTTTGAATGAATGCCTCAGAAACATATTCCCTAAGGAGATGTATTTAGGAGTAAAAAATAATCCCCCAAATTAGTAGTTTGGTGGGTTTACTGATATGTCAGATGCACATGTTTCGAAATATAAAATAAATGATCCCACGAACACTAACAGATTAAAGTTGAATGTCTTGTGTATATTGCAGTTAAACTTATTGACTATAGATAATTGTAATTACTGAGACAGAACACCAGCCCTTACAAGTTCCAAAAGTAACCTACAAAATTTAAACCAGTTTCATTTACTGTTCGTGGTGAAGTAGTTGTTTCTGCAGAAAATTTCTACTTGTTTACTCAAAAATGTCCTTTCACTTTTTCCATGCAGCTAAAATGTTATCAGTATTTTTTAGTAAGGCAGTTTTGTTTTGTTGTAAAATCATGTTCTAGCGTTGTTTTAATTGTCTTCAGTAGTTTGGTTCTTGTGTGTTAAAGTTTAGACTGACCAAGTACTATTATAATCATTATTTTTTAGTATGTAATTATTGGCAATGATGTAATTCATGAATAAATAAAATTAATATTCTACTAACTACACCAGTGGAGTAACTCTTAATTTCAAGGCATTATTAAATTTCTGATACATGCATATGATTTTAACCAAAGCCTACTTTCTTTGTAGATGAGATCAGATTTTTTATTTGCTGTTTTCTGCCAAGTGGGGCACGTCCATTTCTTGTGACAAGAATATACAGAAAATGGTAAAAGATGTGTCATCTTCACAACACTGCTCACAAAAAATGTGCCATCTTAAGAGCAGGATAAGTTGTTGTAGTCAGAAAAGAAATGGCTATGCTTAGACTGAATTTCATTTCTTGCCATTATTCTTTCATATCATTATTCCTATCGAAAGGCTACCTGGTTCTTGTGACTCTACTAGTTATAACTTTGCTTTATTATAATTTCATGTTTGATCTGCCTGTTATAATCTGAACCTCCTTCTTTGTGTCGCTGGTATCATGCATGAGAGGCTGTTTTTATCAAATCGTGTGTATTATCTCAGAAGGCATCGACCATATGATCCGTCTCCCAGTATTATATTCTCTTCATTGGTTTGAGGTTCAGTAAGATCAATTCAGAGAAATTTATGAATAAACTGGAAAATGGAAGCATATACATTATTAAGGATTAAGAAAATGCTTAAATATAATATTATGTTTGATGATGTTGCAATGAGAAATTAGGTGCAACTCACTTCTGGGGCTTAGGTAAAGTCTACATACGAGCTAAGTGGTAGTCAATTGTAGGGTTACCCCCAGCATTAGATTTGTCAGTACCCATTTATAAACCTGGGTGGAGAGGGGCACTGCAAGAAAAAAGTGCCCTGCCAAAAAACACAGCATAATGTCCCCAGTCAGGCCTCAAACCTGGACCGCTTGATCTGGAGTTGAGCCCACTAACCTTGAGACCCCTATGCCTCCCACTGGGGCTTTATAAAGGGTTAAGATGATTTCTGCAGAACATTCAAGCAATAATGGCAAAAATCAAGTTAGCAAAAAACCTCATAGCATGTTAATATTTTGAATAACGGTAAGAAGAACATATCAAGACTTGAGCTATCAAGCTGACCCGGTGAGAGAAAATTGAACTTGAAGTTATCCATATTTCAATTAAAACAGAAGATTCGCATTAGTTGAAAACACAATAGCACATGCATTAAGCATCCTTAAAAGGTTTGACATTAAATTTCTCGAGAATGCTTGAGAATTTAATCATGGGGTCACTTAAGGAAATTAGTTAAAGTGAGATGTTTTTTATGCAAAAAAAAACCGTGCTATGAGTAGATTTTTAGTAAATAATTTTTGCACTCATCGCGTGAACTTTGAGTGGAATCCGTCTTAAATATAAACAAGACACACACACCAGGCATACTCCCTTAATAGTATAAGGGAGCATGCCCATATCTTCCTTTCTTTTATTGCCAATATTTTCATATACATAGAAAGCTGAAAATGTCCTGTCAGTGATACAGCTGGATGTCTATAAAACTGTAAATACAAAATAACTGCACAGCTTCTATGAGTCATAAAACTAACATGCTAGTAACATTCTATTCTAATTTTGTCAAATCGTTCCTGATTTGATATTATAACTTATTTATGTCCTTCAATAAAAATTGTTATATTAATTGTGTAATTTTGAAATTGTTTCTGTTGTCTGTCTTTCTGTTTCTTTTCCTTCCTTTTTTGTTAAATATAACATCCAGGTTTTTTAAAGCAGGTTACCCCCTTGGTGAAACACCTGCTATTAATAGGGACCTGTGTTTTGGCAGTCATTGCAAGAGGAGAGCCTGTTGATCTTATTAAGTACTCTTGCCAAACCAAGCATCCTGATGAAACTGTCATATACATGTATATACAATTGAAATGGCACCTATTCACCTTTAACAAAGGGTTTATTTTGTAGTCACTGTTAGCACCACAAAACTACTGACTGACAAGATGTGCCATTTTGTCAGCTGCCAACCTACGATGCGCCATCGAGAAAGCTTTCAGTGCTCTAGTGGGCTTTTTAAGTAACAGCAAAAATGAAAGTGCTGGACAATCTCCCTACTATTAAAAATTGATGTAAACATGAAATATATATATATATATATATATTTTTATATATATATATATATATATATATATATATATATATATATATATATATATATATATATATATATATATATATATATGAACAGTATCAAAAGGATTGTGTTAACTGTAAAACATTAATCACTTGCACTGCCATTGAAATTTTGACTGAAGTTGCTCTATGATTTGAATTAGTTTTGGTCTTAACTTGGCATCACTGTAGATGCACTTTTTCCCTAGAGCACAAAGTAAATCACATGCAACTTTTGCTCCAACTGCACAGACAATCTGTCCATAGGAGTGAACATCACTAGCAAATGAAGGTGGACGGCTACCATTTATAATCTCTGGAGCAATTAATGACCATGTTTTCTTTTATATTTTTCTTGTTCTTCTGGAGTGAGACGCTTTATAAGGCATCCACTTGCTGTTGATACTGTGCACTTGCCAAAATCAATTAAGATTGCACGGTACTCATGGTTTAAATATGAAACAAGGACATTATCTGCTTTTATATCCCGATGAATAAAGCCTTGATTATGGAGATAGGAAATTGCTTGAGCAAGCTGATGGATTAGGATAAGCCAGGTATCCAATGCTAGGCTCAAATTGCTGCTTTGCAGTACTGAATACATTGTGTATGGTTTGTCAGAAACATTATAAAAGGAGGATACCAAAAGATAAGGCTTTGACACAGTACAAACTCCGAGAAGAAGTGGGAAATTTAAATGCTTTAAGTTGAACATGACTCTTGCCTCCTTTTTTTACTTCGTCTGCTGTTGCAGAATAAAATGTTTTAACTGCAACAGGAATTCCTCTATAAAACATCTTGTTGCAGTATCCAAATGCACCAGAACCAAGATGAATTGTAACTTGTTTACCAGATTCATCTTTCGGGTGCTCCAAAAGGCCACGCTCAATTTGCAAGGACGAATCATAGGTTGTCTTTATCAGTACCTGTATTGTAACAAAACAGAGAAGGCCTAGTATTTGTAGCTGAAGCACCCCAAGGGCGTTTTTGCTCATTTAATTGTGCAAGCACTGCTTTCATTACACTGTTGCTCTGTAGTTCTTCAAGCATAGTTAAGTGTCCACCTGGAGGGGGAAGGGTAGGGACAATGGTATCTTTTTGCTGAATATATCGAAAAAAGTATAGAGTGCAAACATTTGTTAATAACAATTGTGCAAGTGTCCAAGGGCTTACTGGGGTCAGCCCCGACCTCCTCCCCCTCCCCTGAGATATAGCCGATAACAGCTTACTGTCCCTTTGACTGAAGCAGGACTTATTACTTATTGTTTACGACTACTAAAGTTCACAATTACAAACCTTTCTCTGTGTTACAGGCTTCCCCAAAATCGAATTGAAAGGTTTCCTCGAAGCTTCTCGGTTGAGAAGAGAACGCCAGCGATCGTAATACTTTCGTGACAGATATTCGCATATCTGTCGTTGCCTCGCGAGGCGATCCTTCTCTTTCCACAACTCAGTCGCAAGTGTTCTCTCCTTTTCAAGGCTCCTTTGTCGTCGTTTTGTTTTTCTCCTTTCTCTATTCATTCGCCTTATTTCTTCTTTCGTGTTTTCTCGGCTCTTTTTTCCCATAGGGACCTAAACAATGTCACACTTATTCCCGGGCTGATTACTTTTTTCGTTCCCGCGTTCGAAATTCGCGGCGGGAAAAAATTCCCTTTCCCAAATAAGGTCATACATGATTTTGTCCCCAGTGTTCTTGCGGTAGTCGAACCATATGTGGAAACGCTTTATCGGAGCCCATGGTAGCATATGTCAGCGGATTTTTATCTTGGATGTCATTTTGTGTCGTGAATGACTTCAAGGTTTTCGTTGTGGGAACGCTTTTATTTCCGGTCAGAAACATGGATATTTGACCTCAACTGAACAGGTAAGATTTATATAAACAATCTATTATCAATACCGTAATAACGACTCGATAGAACTTGAATAATTGTTCACAAAGGCGTTTATTTCTACTCGAAGCTAAAGTGACGTTCATATATCTTTCGTATTGTTGTTATTTACATCCTTGCACTTGTAACCTACAGCTATACGTTATAGATACGAAACGGTATAAAATATTTACAGTTTTGTTTTCTTTTAGCCCAAGGCATCCATTTTCCATTCTCGTAAGAGAGCTCGCGCATATTTTAATTGCTTGTTAAGCTCACTTGCTGTTAGATCATTATTTATATCTTCAAGCAGTGCTAACAGGCAATTGTGAGTTACAAAGAATTCCCTCTCCCACGCATCAAATCTTCTTTTTAATTTAAGTTGTTTACTTAAGACGTTTGATTGCACTAAGGCAAGCTTAGAGAGGTAGTCATTGGCTCTCTCTTTGTGGTTTGGATTGCTTTTGTGGCATCTTCTTGCTCTGTCTAGCTTTTGAACTTCTGCTGTGTTCCCAAGTACAACTGCTATTGCTTTACAAAGTTTGGTCTGAAGGGGAGTGGCATCTTTGTATTGATTCTCCTGTGTTACAAAAAAGAAAACAAAAGAATGATACAGTAATTTACATGCTCCAACACTCAATTTTAATTATTTGTTCCCTGATTTCTTTCCGCTGGAAATCGCTGTGGACATCAATCGGTCGGCGAGGAAAGATGCGCGAGCGTCGAAGCGCTGTTAAGAGCCATTAATCTGTGGCCGAATGCTCGACTGAAAGCAGTCTCTCCTCCTGCTTTTCAATCCGTGGGTCGAACGCGGAAACAGCGGGAGCGCGAAGCGAGCAGC